TAGGGCAATTTTTCTCAGTTATATTGTTGTCACCATCAAATGTAAACAGCTCTGTAAACATAAGCTGGTGTGTCTCCCTACAAGGCCAAAATACCAATTGTTCAATGAATGGGCAACAGCAGCTGGGATTTCTGTTTCCAGTGTCTGGAACTTGGTTTAATATGACAAAAAGAAGTCAACTGCATTCAGAAGAATGGCAATAGAGTCATTTTAGAATTTCAATTTAGCTTCTACCCAGAAACGGGACCACCTCAGATGGTAGAGTATTGCTCATTTATTTCTATACCAGTGAAACTGATGCCATCATTATGGATCTTCTGAGGCCTAATGAAAGAGGACAGAGGTACCCTGGCAGCCAATAGAGCTGTCAGGTGAGGTCTAGTCTTGATGTTCTTTTTGCATAAGGGCCCAAGTTAAGTTTCTGAGAAAGCTCAAAGCCTGCACTTCTCATTTAAAGGAAAGGCACCCACTTGAGCACCCTATGACTCCTCTCTGCCCTCAGCACTAAGCCTAGATTCCCTAGCTTGGCATCAAGGGCCTTCAAGAACTTGGCCGGGTGCGGTGGTTCACACCTGTAATCTAAGTACTTTGGGAGGCCGAGGTGGGAGAATCACGAGGTCAGGAGTTCGAGACCAGCCGGGCCCACAAGGTGAAACCCTGTCTCTACCAAAAAAAAATACAAAAATTAGTTGGGCACAGTGGCGGGCACCTGTAATCCCAGCTACTAGGGAGGCTGAGGCAGGAGAATCGCTTGAACCCCGGAGGTGGAGGTTGCAGTGAGCCAAGATCATGCCCCTGCACTCCAGCCCTGGAGACAGAGTGAGACTTTGTCTCAAAATAAATAAATAAATAAAATAAAATAAAGCAGAGAACTTGGCCTTCTGTTCGTGTTGCCAATCTTCAGCCAGAGTCAGCCACACTGGCCTCCCTGCTGAGTCCTGTATGGGCCACTGTACATGTTCTTTTAGAGTCTTTTTTACCTCTAGAATCAGTTTTCTATGATTCCTCAAGCTTCATTGTTGCCCCTCTTATGTTCTTCCATAGCCTCCTGAAGTTAGCCCTATCACAGCATTTCTCATATCACATTGTAATTTTCAGAATATGTATTTGTCTTCTTTGCCAGACTGTGAGATCTGGGTAGGCAAGACATTGTTCAACCTAGCTCAACCACAGCTTTCATCAATGAAATCCGGTAAAAGAGGAAGTGAATGAATGAATGGATAGGTGACACCCCATCCTCCTGGCTTTAGTTGGATGGAGTAAGTAAGCCAGATGTCCTCTGTGAGTCTGAAGGATCAGGAGCCATAAGCGCTAGCCTGGGGTGCCAAGTGGCTGGCGCTGGTGAGGTCTGGGTGTCTTCCCAGGGCAAGGTCCCTTCACACAGGCATAGACCACCCCAGGGAGTCAGGTGTGAGCTGCACAGCCTCCCAAACCGGCTTGAGGAGATGGGTTCAGAGTCAACCAGAAAGGAGCTTTGTTCAAGCTCTGGAGTCTGACAGAGACAAACAAAAATCTGAGAGCCAGAGCGTTTTCTCTTTGGTCTGAGATAATTCAGGTAAGCTCTGTAGCCGGTGGCTGCTGGGAAGAGAGGAAACCATAGGGCTCAGCAGGCTTTCACCAGAAAGGGTGATGGGAGGAGAGCCAGGGAGATCCCCCACTGCTGACCCGTGACCGGCAGGGAAGCTCCTGCCACGAAAGTAAATCTGGGCTTCTGGGAAGTGGGCTGGCTGTGTCGGGGGCAGCGTGACCTCTCAAAGAAGAGTGCATCCAAGGACTTCCAATGCAGTGTCCCCATGAGATATGTGGTTTGCAAGATAGTTTTATTCTAGACAGTAGGGGTGGCTGTTTAACATTTGAAGCACCATCATTGGGAACACACACTCTAGAGGTGGTTATGTAGCTTGTGAGACAGTAATCAGAAGCCCCCACTCCAGGAGCTTTATTACCACAAGCCTCAGACAAGCTCAACCTTATTTATCTCCAGTCAGCACCAGAAGGTTTGTTGTTTGTCATATTGGATATTAGAAAATATTTTCTATTGGTAAAATGAGCAGAGTTCAAGACCTGTAGATTAACTAGAACTATTGTACAGGCACCTCTGTGGATAAACAGGTGAGCCCAGCAGCCCTGACCCTTTGAACTGACAGCCAAGGCCTAAGGACTCCATCCTGCTGAGCCATTTCCAGATGATTGTCCCCACCCAAAGACCAGCTGAAGCCTGCTGCCAGGATCCTGTCACACCTGCATGCAAAATGCTCATCAGAGACTGAAAGGCTAGGATGCCAAGACTTCAAACCACACAACAGACATGTTTTGTACCTGCTAATTCAGTCTGAGACTTGTTTCATTGTGTTACCTGGTGGCAGGGAGGGGATGAGGAGGCTCTAGCAAGTGATGGCTTCCAATATCTGTCAGAAAAGAACCAATAATTGTAATTGGTAAGTATGGCTTATGTCCATTTCCAACATTACAAAGGGGCCCTGAACCAGCAGGCATTGGCCTTGGGCCTAAGATGACAGCTTTTTCTCAGATAAAAGGTCAGAACTCTTACATCCTGGTGTACATTGCTGTAGCTACAGTTTGGTACAAAACTTTGGACAGTTCTGTGGCGCTATGCTTGTAGTGCTGCACAGAAGTGTTCTTGGAGTTTCTAAATGAGATGACATTCCCCACTTACCAGTATTTTCTGTTATGTTCAATCTACTAGGTGTTTTGAGGTTCCCCCTTCTTCCTGAGCAGTGAGAAATAACTGAGTAGCAAGTATGACACTTGGGCCAGGTACAGTGTCTCATGCTTGTAATCCCAGCACTTTGGGAGGCTGAGGTGGGAGAATCACTTGAATCCTGGAGTTCGGGACCAGCACCTGGGCAATGAAACGAGACCCCCTATCTATAAATAAAAATTAATTAAATTAAAATAATGTTAAAAATAATATGACACTTGGAGGATTAACCTTGATAATTTTAGTTTTCCTTTTAAATTAAATTTTTAGATATCCTTAAGAAACAAGCACTAAAACAATGATTATTCTTGAGAACTAAGAGTAAATTGACAGTCATTCACTTGCTTTAGCACATATATAGTGGCATTCATTTCCTACTGAGCAAATGTTCATTGAGTGCATATTAGAGACCCAAACACTGATAGGTTATATGTTTAGTTCCCCAGTCATTTTTAGCAAAGCTGCAGCTGTGATTTGTAGAAGACAAAATAAAGTGTTCTGGACAAAAAAGACTGTACTGCACAGTCCCGGGAAGAAGAGGAATACAACAGGTGAGCATTCTGCATTCTGTCCCTGCACATCTCCTGCACCTGCCTGGCTCTCCCGTGCAGGCTGAATGGCCTTTGATGACATTGACAGGCTTGAGGTGTTCCAAAGCTTGGTCCAGGTCCCATTAGGCATCAATTCATGCTGACAACAGCTGGAATTTTGACAGGCTTCCCAGAGCTGAAGATAGGTGAGCTTCTTGATGTCTGGCCTCATGACAGCTCTGATATGTCATCCTGCTATTATTTCTAGGTTTAAGCTAGGTCTCAGGCTTCCCAGGAGATTTGCACTTGAGAGGGAAGCAACATGACAGACAGGAACAGGTAATGTTATTGCCATTGACCAGTGAGAAAAATAGCCCACTGCACTCCTAGTCTAACCCTGGCACACCAGAATCTTAGGAATGGGCAGGAAATGATGGCATTCCAAATCTGACCCAGAAAGGACTCCAACAGTCCTCCTGGGAACAAAACCATTTTCATAGTCAGCATTCTCAATGTTTGAAGCTTAATGGTTTTTCCAATCATAAAACAGATCACAATCATGCAGTTGATTAATTTCCCTTTCCAGGTGGAACAGAATCTATGTGCACATCCTAACACCTCCTAGCAGATGCTTAGGAACAAAGGATACTGTTTCCATGTAGAATTGCTCCCCTGATTATGTCATCCTGGACCTCTTCCCTTTAATCCAGACCATTTCTAACTGCCCCAGCATCTCTAATAAGAGGCAATCTATCCCCACATCTCATCAGACATGCTCCATTCTTCTAATTCCTCAGGCCAAAGACCTGGATGTCACCCCTGACTTTCCTTCCTCATACCCCACATCCAATATTTAGAGATTTCTGTCAGCTCCACCTAAAAAATATATTCAAAACCAACTCTCACCATTTAACTTCGTGACTACTCCTCTGGTCCAAGTCATCATCTTGCTTGGATTATTACTGTAGACTCCATTTGTCTCCATACTTTCCATTCTTCATGGTCTGCTCCCCATCTCTACTATTTCCTTTGCTTATTTTCTTCATATACTACCACCTGATATTTGCCTTCTGAGTCCACCCACTCAGTAAGTACATGGGGTCAGAACAGCATCTGGCACATGGTAAGTGCCAATATTTGATGGACGAATGGGTGAAGAACACATTGCAGGCAGACCCTGGGTCCTGTCTCCCAGGATATGCTGAATGAGCACATAATTTAGTTGATTAAGCTCCATGAAAAGTTATCCTGTTGCACCCATTAATTGACAACAACAAGATCAAAGGCTGTAAGAACTCCATCCATTCATTCCTTACCCTCTAGGCATATTAACCTAACTTAAATTTAACATGTTGGGCACCAGCTTCTGAACCCAAGTTCTAAACAAACTAGTTAGAGTCTTCACCTGACTGTATTAGCTGAATAAACTTCAGCACTGAACGATGGTTACACCAAGAATCATACAGTAGATTTGGACCAATCTATTGGCACTAAGATCCTACCCCATTGCTGTTATGAGTATACTTTTCACACCACAAAACATCCACCAGTTTTACAGGGAGGAGAGGCCACAGAGGGAAGGAAATGGGACAGAGGTTGGAATGATACTCTGGGTATGAGAATGAGCTAGATAACCCTGAATTGTTTTATGACCCTGGGAAGCCTATGGACCTTAAATCATAATTATCTTGCCTAGAAGTTCTCCATCTACCTATGCTTTCCTCTTTGAAAGAAACCAGGACAGCTAGTCAAGTTTTATCCACTTTATTTAGGAAATACATACACTCATTGAATGTTTAGTTTTTTGGGGGAAGGGGGAGCTGAGGACACTACAGAGAGGAGGGTGGGCTTCATTTCTTGCTGGCTTTTGCTGCAGACTTGGTGACCTTGCCAGCAGGGGAGGACTTCTTGTCCACAGCCTTGATGACTCTAACAGCTTCTGCTTGTCTCATGTCCCACACTGTAAAACAGCCTGGAAGAGAAATGGAAGAACGACATGCCTGGAAACTGGCCCAGAAGGAAATGCTCCTTAGCCGCTGCCTTGCCCTCAGTTACAGAATGGAGATTGTGCTTTCCTGTCATGACTTAGTAGCACTATACCTGGCTCACCTAGAGGTGGGTATTCAGAGAAGGTCTCCACACACATGGCCTTGCCAGGGACCATCTGCACAATGGCTGCATCCCCTACCTTCAGAGCCTTGAGGTTCTCCTGCAGTTTCTTGACAGAGTGCCGGTCAATCTTTTCCCTCCATTGGGCAAACTTGCAGGAGACGTGGGCTGTATGACAGTCCAGCACAGGGGAGTAGCCAGCGTGGATCTGCCCAGAATGGTTCAGGACAATTGCCTGGTGGGGTAGCAGGGTGGAATTAGACAGATGGCAGCAAAACCTGTGGCCTCAGTGTAAATCAGGACTAATCCTGAAGCACTCCCTCCTGCACCAGGCCAAGACCCTTTGCTCCCTGGGGCTTACCTGTGCCACAGAACTGTCAGCCTCTATGGGAGAGGTCGTTCCTGCTGTCTCCAGCCTCATTCACCCACCAAACGTCCTTCACAGACACATTCTTCACACAGAATCCTACACTGTTAACTGGCAGGGCTTCCGCCAGGGCCTCATGGTGCATCTCCACAGATTTAACCTCAGTAGTGACATTGCTAGGGGCAAATGTGACCACTATCCCAAATTTCAAAAAGCCACTCTCCACATGGCCCACCAGCACAGTGCCAATGCCTGTTCAATCCAGGAAGGGAAGTCAGTCCAAGACACACCCAGTGAAAACTGACTTCCTGGGAGGCCCCTTGGCTTTTGAGTTCAAGGACAAAGGACCACGTATGGAATGGTAGAAAGCACTAGATGGATCTCTGACTGTTTAAAACTGTGTACTGGATAGCTTGGAAATGCTACGTGCTTTTCCACTTCATCCTTGCTCAAGGAAGAGGTGGAGTCAGGATTTGAACCCTGGCAATCATACGCCCGTGGACTCCCTAGGGGATTCAATTAAGGATCAACTCCAGAATCCCTAACGGAGTAATCTACCCTCAGCCCCACTCAGCCCTCGGTCACCTCCCATCTTGTACACAGCTTGCAGGGGCAGCCTCGGGGGATTGTCAATCCTGCACGTGGGCAGGTGGATGGAATCCAAAGCTTCCAGCAGAGTCACCCCAGTGGCGTTCCCCTCCTTCCGGTCCACCTTCCAGCACTTGAACCCTGGGCACTCATTCTTCTCTTTTCTGCCACCTTGTGAATAAAGGCATGTTTGCTCCCCTTCTGCCATGATTGTAAGTTTTCTGATGCCTCCCCAGCCCTGGGGAACTGTGAGTCAATTAAACCTCTTCCTTTTATAAATTACACAGTCTTGGGTATGTCCTTATAGCAGCATGAGAATGGACTAATACAAACACAAAGCCTATTTTATAATAAAGTGTTGAATATTTCATGTGATTTACTGAATATTGTAGTAGAAGGGAAAAACAGAATTGTTGTATGGGTACTTGAATTACGTTTCTACTGAATGCATGTGACTTTTGAAACATGATAAAGTTGAGTCATTTTAAGTTAACGACCATCTGTATTTCCAGTTTTAATTTTTTCAGTTGCAAAGTATGTGACGTAGAGGACATCATATTATAGATATATCCCATATTTGTAAGCGCCCTTCCCTCCCTCATTTCTAGAAATCTGAATTCAAGTTCGATATCCTGTTTATTTTGTGTGACTTTGAATAAGCCATTGATACCGTAACTTATAAGCTCTTCACCTGTAGGACTAATAACCACTCCTGCCTTGCTCCTCAACCAGTCTTTAGAAGAATCAATAATGGGTTGGAAACAAAACCACAGACTCCATGAAGAAAACACAGAGCAACTACACTCAAAGTGAGTAGAGGTTGGGAGACCTAAATTTCACTCTGCAGTGATGGTGAATATAGATGTCACCTCCAGAGCACTGGAGGAGAAAAGAGATTATGTAAATATCACCAGGGACTAACTTTGTTGCATTGATGCTGTAAAATCATAACTGACTCACTGATTGGTGTTTCCAATGTGCCATTCACAGTGCTTTGCAAAGAGTAGACCAATTCTATTGATGAAGGATAGAATGAACTGTTCAGCTATCTATGGAGTGTTCATTTATTAGTTAATATTTGAAACAACTTACACCTTTGAACTCACACTGTTAGCCTGTGAACACATACATGCTTTGTGAATATCTTGTGAGACACAGAAAAGAATCAAAGGGTAAAACAAGGGATGCTTCTAAGTTAAGTGAACACTCCTTCTTCCTTCCCCAGACACACAGCTGTCCTAATCCAGATGTTAATGATTCAGAGTTGACTACATCAATCAGGTGAGCAACGAAAATATTATCCTGAGAAATGTCAGATTCTATTGCATTGTCTTTACAATTTAACTGTTATTTACCATTTATGAATAACACATACACTTGCAAATTATTTACAATCATTTTTATAGCTGCTCTGTGAGAGATAATTAAAGCAAAACCACTTTAAATGAAGCTGCTCAAAGGGACAAAGTTGTTGTGCCAACAATGTGCTATATAAATGCAAATTATCAGGATTCATATTATAGTGAAAACTGCTTGCATCATTTTTCATGAGACCAACATGTAAATATTATAATAGTCCTCTGATTTATAGAGCACTTTTCTTCCTGAAAAATAAACATGCCTAGCCATGCATTATTTAACAGATATTTCCAACTCTGAGGGATGAATAAAACCATTCACTCACTAATCCTTTCACTAAGATACTACAACAATGCACAACTCAAAATAGGTACTAAATGTTTGACAGCTGAATGAATGAGACGGCATTCAGCACAGCCCATACACATCAGTACCCTTCATACAGAGAATGAGGGGTGTGGCAGAGCAGGGTATGGTCAATAGAAAAGGTCAAAACATTTAGGGAAGTACTGAGGAATTCAAAAGACTCAACCGAAGTGGAAGGAAAAGAATGGAAGCAACAAGGGATAAGGTTGGACAGGTGAACTGAGGCTATCATCAGTATGTGGACGGCATCTAGTTTTCTAAGTCTCAGAAAATAAAACTGTGAAAAAGAAGAAATGATGGGAAAATTTACTTGTAATTGGTGAGGTTAATGTTCTGGAGAAATAACCCCAACAGAGCCATAATCTGTACATTTTAAGTGCCTAAGAAGCCAATAAAAATGTAATCTCATGAGAGTTGTGTCTTCATTAGCATGGATAAAGCAGCAGCCTCATCAGTGGTATGAGCAGAGCAATCTACAGTTTGTATTTCACAGGAAGCCTGGTTTATAGAAAGAAAAGTCAGAGTTCACCACATGCATTTCACTGGGGAATGCTTTTTTAGCGTCACACTATTAAGCACTCATGGAAATAATGTACTGAGGAATAGTTTGGAAAATACTGGTTTATAGCATAGAAAAACAGGACAGAAGAGCAGCCCTCTTGCCCTTCTACCAACCCCTAGAAGAATTAGATAATGGTCATACTTCTTGTAAAAAAAATCACATCCTGTTTATCTTTGGCACTAATTACAAGCGATGCTCACAAACCTCAAATCCCCAGATTTCTGAATACCACCTACAGCATATCAACTTCTGTATAAAATGTACTAGGAATATGACTGAGATGTTTAAATGATTCCATTAGCCATTGTTGATTCTATAAACATGGGAATAATCTTTTCATTAAATTTATTGATGTCATTTTTCACATCATTAAAACACAAAATTGTCCCCTGCATGCGACCATTGGAACCAAGTAGGCTATGTCTAGGCAGATCTGTGAGTCCCACACACCACATAGCCATCTTGGGCCTGGACTGGGAAAATAAATGGCTCATGCTTCTGATTAATTGATATGGTTTAAACTTGTGCTCCGGCCCAAATCTCATGTCTAATTGTAATGCCCAATGTTGGAGGAGGGGCCTGGTGAGAGGTGATTGGATCATGGGGGCAGACTTCCCCTTTGCTGGGTTCATGATGGTGAGTGTGTTCTCGTGATAGTGCATGAGCTCTCATGAGATCTTGTTCTTTAAAAGTGTGTGACACCCCCACTCCTAACTCTCTTTCCTTCTGCTCTGGCCATATAAGATGTGACTCCTTCCTCTTTGCTTTCCACCATGATTGTAAGTTTCCTGAGACCTCCTCAGCCATGCTTCCTGTATACCTGTAGAACTGTGGGCCAATTAAACCTGTTTGCTTTATAAATTACCCAGTCTCAGGTAGTTCTTTACAGCAATGTGAGAATGGACTAATACAGAAAATTAGTACCTAGCAGTACTAATTAGGAGTGAGGCACTGCTGTAAAGATAGCTGAAAATGTGGAAGCAACTTTGGAACTGAGTAACAGGTAGAAGTTGGAACAGTTTGGAAAGCTCAGAAGACAGGAAGATGAGGGAAAGTTTGGAACTTTCCAGAGACATGTCAAAATTGTTGTGACCAAAGTGCTGATAGTGACATGGACAATGAAGTCCAGGCTGAGGTGGTCTCAGATGCAGATGAGGAACTTATTGGGAACCAAAATAAAGGTCACTCTTACTATGCTTTTGCAAAGTGACTGGCAGCATTATGTCCCTGCCCTAGAGATCTGTGGAACGTTAAACTTGAGAGAGATTAGGGTATCTGGCAGAAGAAGTTTCTAAGCAGCAAAGCATTCAAGACATGATTTGGCTGCTTCTAACAGCATATGCTCATATGCACGAGCAAAGAGATTATCTACAACTGGAACTTACATTTAAAAGGGAAGCAGAGCATAAAAGTTTGGAAAATTTGCAGCCTGATAATGTGGTAGAAAAGTAAAACCCATTTTATTGGAAGGAATTAAAGTCAGCTGCAGAAATTTGCGTAAGTAAAGAGGAGCCAAATGTTAATAGCCAAGACAATGAGGAAAATGCCTCAAAGGCATTTCAGAGACCTTCACAGCATCCCCTCCCCTCCAGGCCCAGAGGCCTAGGAGGGAAAATGGTTTCATAGGTCAGGCCCAGGGCCCTGCTGCCCTGTGCAATCTTGGGACACTGCTCCCTGCATCCCAGCCATTCTAGCTCCAGTTATGGCTAAAAGGCCCTCAGATAAGTCTCAGGTTGCTGCTCCAGAGGGTGCAAGCCCTAAACGTTGGCAACTTCCACATGGTATTAAGCATGCATGTGCACAGAAGGTAAGAGTTGAGGTTTGGGAACCTCTACCTAGATTTCAGAGGCTGTACAGAAATGCCTGGTTGTCCAGGCAGAAGTCTGCTGCAGGGATGGAGCCATCATGAAGAACCTCTACTAGGGCAATGCAGGGGGGAAATGTGGAGTTGGAGCTTCCACACAGAGTCCCAAATGGGGCACTGTCTAGTGGAACTGTGAGAAGACTGCCACCATCCTTCAGACCCCAGAATGGTAGATCCACCAACAGCTTGTACCATGTACCTAGAAAAGTCACACTCACTCAATATCTGCCCACGTAAGCAGCTGAAGAGGTGTTGTACCCTGCATAGCCACAAGGGCAGAGATGCTCAAGGCCTTGGGAGCTTACCTTTTGCATTAGCATGGCCTGGATGTGAGATATGGAGTCAAAGGAGATTATTTTGGAGCTTTAAGATTTGATGACTGCCTTGCTGTGTTTTGAACTTGCATGGGGCCTGTAGCCCCTTTGTTTTGGCTGATTACTCCTTTTGGGAATTGGTGTATTTAACCAATGCCTATACCTCCATTA